TGCCACGTAACCAACGATTAATCCGTATTTCGAATCCCTTCGATATACGAATCCTTTTCAACGAGATCGGCGCACCCGCACGCGCAGGACAAACAGCGGCGTTCCCGCGACGAAGCGCAAATAAAAGTTGGAAAACGCTTATCCCCGCTCGTACGATCCCGAGCACCGCCGCTGAATCGTACGCGTCCGGTCGGAACGATCTCGCGCTACCTTTTCCCGTGCGCGTTCTACCTCGGCCAACGAACGGCGGGATCGCGGATAAAAATAGGACAGCCTCGGCCAGGACGGGTTCAACTGCGATATTACCGCTCGGTTTTTTTCGTTATTTTCCGTAATGCGTGATAGTTGGACGAAGTTTCGCAATTAAACTCGCACGGCTTGGCCGTTCCTTTCTTTGCCCGTGTAGCCGGCGCAGTCGGTCGCCGGTCCCGCTGCCAACCCCGGCGTCGAATCATTCTTCAACCGGCGGTTTTCTTATCCTCCGCTGTCCCCGGCTTTATCGTCCCCGCGATTTTTCACGTTGCGGTCGAGTTTCCAGGAACGAACGCCATTAACACGCGAGAAGAAGTCGGTAAATTTGCAATCGATCTCGCTTCGGCTGTAGCCTCGACGACTCTACCGGGTTCCGGAGTTTTTGCGGGGCATCGATGCGAGGAACGGATGGCCGATTCTACCCGTCTTGCCTTCGAAATAATAGCATTGTCGGACGCTCGCGTTGTTCTATGGAAATCGGCGAATACGTCTGTTCGCGGCTTTCCGTTTCTACTTCTTCCAAACGTGTTTGCGGTTGTACCGTGAACGAGGTATTCTCGCGAGGAAATTGTATCGCGCGTTTTTAACTGATTTTCACGAGTGCGCTCGCAAATACATTTACCCGACTGTACTACGATCCGGAGACATATAGTTCGATGGGAACTAGGCGATCGTTGCCAAGCCAAAGTCAAAGAGACGATTCGATCGCGCCGCGTCCGTCACGCTATCGGATAAAGCGGTTCGACGTGTTACACCTAACGAGGATCGCAGCGACGCATAATCGAGTTCGTGGCACGTAATTATAGCGTGTCAATAAATTTCAATTGGCGGTTGTAGGGATCCGGTGATGAGCGGGAGGGCCGGGCGCGACTCCTCGCCAGCTTCCGAGACTCTGAATGGCAGCTTTATCGGCAAATAATTGATAACCACCGCCACCCGTACTCCGTTCTCCAGGCATCGACGTATCGCTGTAACGCTGGATGGATCCGATCGCGCTTCTGGCCCGTGATTAATTTATACTTCGTCGACTCCTCTCCGATTAGCTCGGAAAAACGGACGAGTCATCGATTTGTCGTTGATCCGTTTAATAAATCATAATCGAAAGATCTCGCGGCCCCCGCCTCCTCTCGTATAAGATGCAACGTTGGCACGGCATAAAGACGTCGACGTAAGCACGGAGGATACGCAGCGGGGGGTGTTTCCCCGGGTTACCGGTTCGCAGACTATCGAAAGTAACGATTATCGCCCGAAGAAGCGGCAATCTTCGCCGAGCAAAAGGTCCGGGAAACGCTCTAATCCACTCTTTATCCGTCCCTCGACGTGTTCCACGAGATTATCATTGTTCGCACCTTTGTTGCATCGCGTATCGCGACAACGCCCGCTCGTGGACCGTCAACAACAACGACCCGTCCGCTGAAAAACGAGAGCAAAACGGTGTCGACGCCGCGCTAAAGCGGAAGCGTCAGGGGGAGAGAGACTGCGACTAAACGCTGCGGGAAGTAGAGTGCTGCACAGATCGGTTATTTCGTACTGAACGCTTTGGCTGTCGCGGTGGTCACCGACTATCGGAGCTTTCGAATTGCTTGATAAAGTAAGAAACGTGATAGCGTATCCGTTAATTATTAATCCTATCACCAGTTCCGTTTGTCACGGAAGAATACCCAGTTGAATTGTACGAAACGCTAAAAATTCTTCTGACTCGAATGCAGAATAGGAAAGATCTACAGTTGCGGGCTTATCGTGGTCGCATCTTCGCGATAATGGGCTATTTATGAAAATTTCGAGGTTCCCGCAATAATCGGATCTCGAAACGCAGATTGCGTCAGCGCGCAGTGCCCTTCGCGACGTGACCGGGACATCAAAGAGCCAGTTCGATCGGTCGAGAAGTGGCTGGTCAAGCAATTTCCCGGCGAATATTAACCGGCCCGTTGGAAGCGGAACAATCTCCCGAACGCGGAGGCCAGGTTTCGGTTTCTCGGTGTCGTCGATTCGATCGAGGTTCGAGGCAGCGGCGGCTGGTCGTTCGGTCGCGGTGGTTCCCGATGAAATGTTAACGAGGGTAGTCGAGCTCGGCGCCGTGTCGAACACAGGCCGCGAACCCTAGAGACTCGAAAAAGACGGGGCTGCGGTCAGATTGAAGGAGCACGCGAACACTTGAACCGTTGTTTGCGAAGCCATCTCATTAGGGAAGTATTCGGAAGCCCGTGGACATATCAATGTTGCGTGCTCTCGCTGCGAGCACTAATTATAACATACCGTGCGAGGAAGGGTTGGTATGCGAACTATGCGCGCCGCTAAACATACACTGGCTCGCGCCCGCGCGCGCACGCACGGGAACACAGGGACACACCACGCCCACTCGTAGAGCCAGCGAACGACACACGCACCGTCCCGATGGCAGCGGCGCCGCTTTCCATCGCGTCCTGTTGCCAAACATTTAGGCGTACCCTCTTAGCCAACGGCGCGGAACCTTTGTCCGAATAAATGTAACAGGGCGTCCTCGAAATAGTTCAGCGATTGCCGGCCACTTTAGAACTCGGTTTACGTGCCGGAACCCCGTGCGCCGGCTGCGATAAACCGCTGACGCTGAATGCGACGTCAACGAAAACGTCGACGCTACCGTATAACCGGTCGCGGATATTCCCATAAACCATTCAGCCGGCCCTTCGTCTTCCCGCAATCGCGCCCGCCGACGATTAAACGACGCGATCCGAATCGAGTAAAACGAATCGCGTCCCGAGGACGAGCCATTTTACAGGTAACACGTTAATTTACATTTCCTCGGCGCCGTTCGCGGCGGATACGAGTCGAACGCGGGAGAATACGGTGGCAGGAATCGACGCCGCGTCCCATAAACGTTATTACAGCCGCGGCGAGCGGCGTACACGCGTCCCGCGTAATCGAACGATACCATAAATTTCAAGATGCAGCTTATCCGCCATACTTTCCGCGAACGACATCCGCGGCACAATGATATTCCCGGCGCGGATGCGTTTCCTATCATGCGATGTATTAGATTACCTTCCGATCTCCTGCGGGAGCTTTTTTCCTTTCGGCCGACAAAGCGTTCATTATATCGGTCGGGCTGAAGCGCCGATATATACGGTATGCTACGGTTGTTGCCTCCCGCGAACCCATCTTCCGCGGAAATTGAAACGGCTTCCACGGATCCGGAGATGCGTTTGTAAAAGACCGCCGCGAACATAATACGACGATCGAACAGACGTTCCCATCCTCGCAACAATTTATGCGGCACGTTCGAAGGTTCCGTCCGCTTTGGGGGAACGGCAATTGCAGTTCCAAAACAAGATTTATGGCGTGATGTATACGTGCCGTATGCTGATCAGCCTCTCGAGCGACCAGCCTTCGAATAATTAACGTTCCTCGCAGCCGAGTCTTCGAATGATTCTCGACTGTTCCTTTCACCCGACAC